AGGTGGCTCACTTGAGGTCAGGAGTTCGAGACCAGCCTGGCCAACATGGTGAAACCCTGTCTCTACTAAAAATACAAAATTAGCTGGGCGTGGTGGCAGGCACCTGTAATCCCAGATACTCAGGGGGCTGAGGCAAGAGAATTGCTTAAACTTGGGAGGTGGAGGTTGCGGTGAGCCAAGATGGTGCCATTGCACTCCAGCCTGGGTGAGAGAGCAAGGTTCTGTCAAAAAAGGAAGGGGAGGGGAGGGGAGGAGAGGGGAGGGGAGGGAAGAAAGACAGAGCCCAGTAAAATGTGAGTACTACAGCGAGTAGCAAGCATTTCAGATGAGCCTCGGGCACTGGCTCGCTTGTAGCCCAGGTGGTGCCGAGGTGAAGCGAGGCTGAACCACGGGAACCGGCTAGGAGCACCCTCATCGGCTGCCTGACTTAGGGGGCGGGGTCAACTGGAGCCAGGTCTTTGACATCAGGGAAACAAATTGACATTTGGTCTTCCCTCCATCCAGACCAACTGCCCCTGGCTCTCTTCTCAAGTCAGCTCCCACCTACACCTTCAAGAACCAAGTCAATGCCACCACCTCCTCCATGAAGCCTCTGGATTCCCTCTTCCGGCTGTCAGAGCTCTGTTTTTCTTTGGTTTATCATTCCCTCTTCACAAGGGCTTTCCACAGACTAGGAGACCTACAGACCTGAATACACACACGACTCACTTTGTATCTCGGTGTCCAGCACTGCTTCTAGACTAAAGGTGATCGTCAATTTTAATTGAAAGGAAAAAATATAGGTGAATGCATATTACCATACATTTTAATTTGGAGAGAGTTACTTGACAATAAGAAAGAAATAGCAGAGTGAAATGTGAGTACTACAGCAAGTAACAAGCATTTCAGATGAGACTTGGGCCCTGGCCAGCTTGTAGCCCAGGTGGTGCGGAGGTGAAGAGATGCTGAACCGTGGAAACTGGCCAGGAGCACCCTGATTGGCTGCCTGACTTAGGGGGCGGGGTCAAACAACAAAAAATCATTTTGTTAGCTGAAAGCTAGTGTCTACCTATGCACTATGGTACACCAAAAATCATAAAGAAGAACATTAAAGTAACCTGTATCCTTGCAGCTCAAAGGTAATCACAGTTAGGCACTTGGAATATTGTTTTACAAAAGTTGGCTGCAATCGATTGCATATAATTTTGAGTTCTGATTTTCCACTTCCTACTTCCCATGTCAGTGGAGGTCTTAGAAATGTGACTTTTTTTGTTTTTGTTTTTGTTTTTGAGACAGAATCTCACTCTGTCACCAGGCTGGAGTGCG